CTCCAAATTGAGAAGTCACAGCTGCGATGGCTTGGGCATGTGTTGTGAATGCCTCCAGAAAGGAAGGCTAGGCAACTGTTCCTTGCAAATCCGACCGGCAAAAGGCCCAGGGGACGGCTAAGATTAGCCTGGTGCAAACATATGGAAGGAGTCTGTTCCAGACTGAATTTGTTTTTTGCCGAAACTCAGACTCTGGCACAAGATCGGGAACGTTGGAAGCACTGTCAGACGCGTCTGCATCCGCGACCCGAAAGGAGAAACGGTGATGGAAGATGAAGATAATGACAAAACACAGGAGAAGTTGTTGGAAGACTGCAAGAAACTATGGGTGAAGAGAGGTCTCTGAAAATGGCCAGGGAGCTATGGTGTTGAAGATCTAAAATCTTCTGTGCAATGTACTTTTATGGTTTGATTCGGAAATCGCCAGAAACGGTGTTTTTAAAGACGTTTAAAGAAACAATACAACTGTTACACACCAGTTTATCTTGCCTTTCGGCTCATGATCGCTGCATAACCAAATGTAACGGTGATTCACAGTTGTACAGCAGCTGCAACTCGACTGAAGCAAACTAGAGGCAGGCACTTGCAAAACAACCTCAGCCTGACACATCAAGCACTTTAACCAATGGAACCCACATGCTGACGCACCTTATCGTCGTAAGGCTAAGGCTATTCTTCAGGGACATCTGGCCGGCGAGCAGGATCGTAGTATTTTCATAAACGCTTTATATCATGGGTGGTCATGGCATTGCTAACAGAAACTAATATTTGGTGACACAGGGATGTCAATCGCCACCACGTCAGACCAGCTGTTTAGTCGATAGCTTAGTCATAACATTTGACAACAGCGACCGTAAATTGCGGCACTTGCACCATTTAATCTCCACTTGTGGGGGCACGCAAATTCGATTTCTGTTTGTTGTAAATTGCGTGAATCGAATATGACTTATATTATCCGCGATCGTCCAGTCGTATTCCATGGAATCAGCCTTAATTTGAGTTGTCCACAAAAAAAAGTTTGTTCATCTGGCCCATTATTTGTTCAGTAGGAAACTCAAGTTCAGTTCCTGCCGTAAGTTCACCAGAAATGAGTTTGACTTAGTTCGCTTTTAGATACGGTTGTTTCAGTCGTCGTTTAAACTGATTAAATATGAAGACCTGATTTAGCTTAGTTTTTGATACCTGACCCAGTTAAAATGGTGTCTCAGATTGATATCAATCACTGCTCGACGGTACGGAAAGTAATATCAGTCAATGCAAGTAGCTTCAACTTCAAGCTGCTTTCACCGCTAGTATACGTTTTGAAATGTGCCCATTGGCTATAGTTAGTGAGAAAATTCAATAGAATTCAATCCTGATAGTGTTTCTTGGTCGAAACTACAGATAGTATATCAGGTAAATGGACTGCTACTGAAGTCATTAAATCATTTTGAAACTGCTTAATGATGTGCCTGGTCTAATGATGGGAAGACAGTACCCTTTAATGTGTCAGCTAGTCTTTGACAAAGATGTTGTACCTCTCTATGTTCGAATTTTCATGGAACATACCTTATAGAGAAGAAAGTTTTTGAGTAGCATTCACGCGCGATAAGAGGCAGATCGCGGAAATAGATACATGGATCAGCTAACCGACCAATATAATTAATGCGGTAGCTAAACCAGTTTGTGGCAATAAGTGCTCCGTAATAGTGTGAAATTAACTGTCGTCGAATTTGTAGAAGCCCATCTGCTCTTAAGCATGGCAACGAGTGCTGGATACTGTCAGCTTTGCACGTGAAAACTAAGTCAGTCCGTAATAGCAGCCCGAGTTAGTAGTTGCTGTGAAGTACAGATGTGTTCAGAAGCACTGCGTAAATTTTCTTTTATTTACTGCTAATTCTCTTAAGTAAAGAACGTAACCTTCTGTACTTCGGTGCAACTAGCAGCCAAGAAAAAGTAGCAAACCGTTGACGTGTGAATAGCAACAACAGGGGGTAACAACGTAATCATACCAAGGCGCACGAGACACACGACCTGATGAGCACTTGATGGGTGCAATTTCTCGTTACGCATTTGGTAGCCGACTAAAAATCAGGAAAAGGTCAGTTAGAGCAGTAAAATAAAAAAAATTCCTGTCGGAAGAGTAATGAAAAAGCAACTTTGCATCTTGCACATTTTTGATATTTAAGACTCGAACGTCAACTCTGATAGCGTCCCACCATGCATAAACTTGTCCGCTTCTTTATGCAGTGTAATGTAAGTGATTTATCTGGAGCACAACACAGCACGTGGCATGATGTCGATTTTATTTTAATGCTCATCTCTATTCAACGAACATCGCTTCGAAGATTAAAAATCCATTGACACTTAATAGCATTAATAGCGGGACCACAAAGGAACACGCATTTATAATCAGTTTACTGCTGTCATAATACGCTGATCATGTACGTGATATGGATGTACGGCAGATGTACTCGTAAAAATGAATATTAAGCTCCTTTTCGTGACTTAAAGGTACCATCACAGACTTAATAAGACCGGGTTGGAATGGCGCAACGAGTGATTCAAAGTCCTCGTCAGCCTTTGTCGAACCACTGCCCGATGAAGACTTCTACGACACTTTACCACACAAATTTCTGTTTTTTTGAGATTTGTATCCACCATGATCCAGCGAACCTTTTTAACTCATACTGATATCGACTCGCAGGTATTTCTACTGTCTCTCCTGGAATCCGGTCTAGCGTCTCTCTGGTCGGTTCTTCTTGCAACTGACCTGTCAACTGCCACCTCAAGCTCTTCATTCTGGCAAAGACATCGCAGCCTCTTTTTTATGCTTTCATCCATCTGCTCGTGAACCTCTTTTCTTGTCATTATCAATGTACATCTTTGACTGCAGCGTCTCAAGTTTGTTAATCGCCATCAGACGTAGGTCAGCAATAGCTGCACACTGATTTAAAACTCACAGTTTCTTGGAAAGGTAAATTTTAAATCTTTCAAATATGCCATTTTTACCCTTCTGTTGATTTCACGTAATCGATTCTCCGTTGCACAGATGAACGGTTCCAGTCAGATGTAGTTTTTCGCCTCTCAAGATAAAGTTCACTGACTTCAATAGGGCTCTGCGTCACGTATCTGTTACACATGACCTGAATCTTGAGGTTCACTTTCACTCCTGCTTTTATGACGGCATCGTTCGGCACTTGGGTTCCTCTTTGCGGTTGCTCTGGCGACCTTAAGTGGCTTAAAATGAAACAATAAATTTACAGCTATGAATAAGCTGATCTGAAATCTGCCACTCGCTTTACATCAGTGTACTATGCATACACAGGGAAGTTTGCTGGCAGTCATATCATGACTAAAATACAGCCTACGCAGCGAAACGCTTTGGAAATTGTCGACACACGCGTATTTGGTGCCCACAAATACGAAGGGTCAAACATCTCTAATTTCAGCAACGCGCCCAGAATCAGATATGTTAAGTCATATTTAAACTTATCTTCCTTGCCACACTGTGTTGCATTCCAAAAGCAGTCAATTTTAAAGTAATAGAGCGCACAATGTGGTGAAAGATAGGTAAAAAAGTGCACTGAAAAGAACAAGCTGCGTACACTTGCAGAAGATCATCGTACATTATTTAGTTGATTCAAAAACAGCGCATAACTTCAACTTCGCCTAGAGACGCCATTCCTATCCTGAAACCATTTTTTTGACAGCAGCAGACCGTTTTTTGAGACAGATCGCAATAATTAATTGGCAGGTCTTGAACAAAGTCGAAGAGAGAGAAAACATTTACAGGCACATTTCGCGTTGCCTGAAGTTGATTGGCAAGCTCTGAACTGAAGGATCAAACAGATGCGAAATAAAGAAGACAGACAGTTGATGAACAGGGAGATTTATTCGTAAATGAATTATGCGGTGGCATATCATGAGTGAATCTAAAAGAAAGTTGGAAGATCACCATGCTGACAAAGAAGAGCAAATGTTTAACAACGTGAAACGGCGATGTTTAACTTACATAACAAAAGTAAGGTGGCCAGATCAAATAATGAAAGACTCTGATATTGGTGCAGTTAGCAGAACTTGAAATATGAACAAGAAAGATGGCTCAGTTTTACGAACTGATTGAAAAACAGCCGTTTCACAGACAATGCTTCTAGCGTGAAGATATCGACCACAGATATCTACGTGCAATAAGGTTAAAGAAGATACAGACAGATTTCAGTTCAGAAAAATAATTTCTTCTACCATTCTACAACCAACGCCTTTCAGAATGGTGGTGAAGCACGGAATGTGTGGCATATCAGAAAAACGAGACGTTCGGCAACTGCAGGCGGCTCATGATGATACTGAAAAACAACAATAAACACATTTCTGTTCAGGATAAAATTAAGCATGAAAAAGGTCTGCTGACCAGATGAAGACACAGTAGAGAGGATGAAGAGGGAATGACACAATCTAAAACGACTCAACATAATTACCACCAAAAGAAGCCAAGCATACAGTAAGAAAGTCTTCAGGTGATTACGTTACCTCCGATGCAAAAGTTACAATCAGGAGGGCGCTTAAGAACGTCAAATGGTCAACTAACGACCATAAAAGAAACCGGCATTGATAAAAAAATTATAGCATTTTAAAGACAATCACAACAACCAGCAAGTGCGAACGTCAAGCCTAGTCTTAAACAGGTGACAAAAACGAAACGTCGCACAAGCCTAGTGCCTAAATTTGTGGTAAACAATCGCTTGTTTTGTCATGCTTAAAATATTATCAAAAACTTATAAACTACACATTCATCATATTTAGCTTCGCTGCATAACTTTAACCTCAGCGAATAACGGTTTCTTTCTACAATCAGAAAACAGCTAACAACGCTTTAGGATCTAACTGTTCATGCTAGAGTAACTTCATTTACACAGCATTATCAAAACGAAACGTTCACGTTATACGAAGTCAGCATGACGTCAGCAGTGATGATCTGCAAAAATTTCAACCATTCGTCTATTTTTTCTTCTTCGTTACTGACTCTTGTTCGTTTTCAACGTGAGCCTTGATAAGTTTTTGGGCGACTTCCTCTCTGACCGGCGAATATCGACTATACTCCATCGTGTATTCGCCTTTGCCTTCCGTGGCTGACCTAAGTTCAGTCACGAAGCCGAACATATCGTTCAGTGGTGCTTCACAGCGCACGATAAAAACGTTGTCGATAACGTCCGTTCCTTGAATGACTGCTTGCCGCCTACTGAGGCACGAAACCATACTTCCTTGAAACTCGATCGGACAGCTTGCCTCAACTTTCATGATAGGCTCCAAAAGACGCCACTGCCCCTCGGAAAATACTAAAAACAAGAAATGATCATCTGCGTAGTTTTTTAAGCGAAATAAGTACCGCAGAGCTACCTCAGTCTAATATTCCGCAATTCGTCATAATGCTGAGAGGAGGTAACTATTCTTCACCTCTAAGAATAACTATTTTTCATCAGTCCTATTCAATGCACAGTTCGATAACATTAAACTGAGGATGACGCAAAACTCCATTAGTTCCACGCGTTTCGGAAGGAGAGTATGACGTCTTCAACGTCTTAAAAACAGTTGCCTAATCTCACGAAAAGCAGTCCGACTAATATTCCACGCCGTAAAACTGGTTTTGATAATCTAAACAATCTAACTACGAGAAATGTAACCAGTACTGCCATTTACCTAAGACAATAACTTCTATCTGATGATCACCACCGTTTTATGCACAACAGTCGCCGATATATAATGATCGTCACCCATTGCGTGCAAAGTTGCTGGATGGGTAATTTCTGCACCAGGGAGCCGTAAGAATTTCCAGACGAATACCAAAAACAGTGAAAAATATCGCAAACTGACCTGCCCTCCGTCTACAGAACCCAGAAACCCAAGTGGACCTTAGAAACCCAAGTGGACAAGGGCGGTAGACCCTCAGTGCTGAAACGTGCGAAACGCATCAGAATACGTAAATATGAAACTCCATGACATTTCCCCGGATAGTATTGTGATTACACATTTTAATAAGGATGTTCGTTGTATCGGTAGCTACAATGGATGCACAAAACAGGCCTTTGATGGAAGACCAAACCGAGCAGGCTTCCGGATGGGGTACCTTTGTGCAGACCAAACTTTCACTCCTCTTAGACTATCAGAAGTGTCGACGATTCCATTTGCCTCAGCTGGTTAGTTTCTTCCACTTTAAGGCTGCATTTGATTCATTACATCGTCTGGAATGTGCATGTGG